TACCTATCCCGATGTCATATTATTTGCTTTTAGCACTAAATGCAGACCACTTACGACTAAATGGCGCCATTCATATTACCAAACCCTGAATCACATAAATCAAAACGACTTTTTCCACTAAAAATAATACCGTTTAAAACATTCGCACAGATTAAAAAACAACCTCACAACAACATTAGTAATTATGGCAAATATTTTTTAGACAGGATTCGTCCTGAAAAGTAGGCTCAATGGCCGTTTTCATCATCATTATGCCTATTACCCTAGCCAGTTCGGCAGGATTTTACTACGTCTACAGTTTAACCATTGAGTAAGATGTTGGGTTGGGTTTAACCATTGAGTAAGATCTTACTCAATATACTTTCACCATAGTGCACCCATAGTACACCCTGCGATATCTGTCGAGCATTTCCTTACGATTCTACTTAGAGGCTTCTACGTGTTTGGTCACCCATCCAATCATGCGACACGACCATAGTTGCTTAGCTCTGGTTATCTATTTTGGTCAGGTATCCCGATCGCGCCATATCGTCGCCTACTGTTTAGATAAATCCAATATACCACATTTTGTCAAATTTGGTACAAATAATCATGACGAGTTTTGATTTTAAAGCAATTAATTACAAAATACTGTTTTCATCTTTACCAAAGTTTTACAGCTCAATTATAATTAATAATAATAAACTTTCGAAAAGATACAAAAAGATCTTTAAAAACCCTTTCCCCATCTCAAATAAAAGCTGCTGTGAGTCAGTGGGTCAGTGAGGTTATCTTTTAACTAATAAATCCGTGCTAACCTAGGAAGAGTAAAATAAATTGACCAATGGCTGACCGGGGTTTTCGTATTCAAGATTTATTGTGCAAGTTTGTTGATAACTTTAAGAATAAACGTAGTTAATATATTTCGGTCTGGAGAGTGTATTTCGCTATCTTTTTTTATCTGAAAACTTTCTTTATTTTCTTTAATAATTGTGTTATATTTTCGGCGGAAAGTAAAGGCAAGAAGTAGCGAGGAGTTACAGGAAATGTTTGCCAAACTAATTATCATTAATTATATTGTAGCATCATTTACTTCACATGCGTGTATCGATCATATCCTCGGGCGCGATATTTGTTTGTTTTGTCTACTTAAGTTCCGTTTTATATTTAATTATATGCCTTAAGCAGCCGCTTAAATTGTTTTCATAAAACCATATTTCAATTAGGAAAATCTTAAAGCCAAGGAAACTTGGGCCTATAATCTGAAATTCGAAACTATGTTCAACCTTTGTTTTTAATCCATCCCCCATACAGAATCGATACACAAAGGGTAAGGTAAACCTTTTAGATAAATAAAATTCCACTCGATGATCCTTAAGGATTCCTGATGGTCGTCAACCTTTCCCAAAACGTTTACACGCTTGTCAAGGAATCAACTCGCACCTAAACGACTCCTTTGAATGTCCTCTTGAAATGTTTATTGTGATCTAACCTCCAATGTAGACATCGAATTTTCTTTAACCCCTGAAACTGATTTGTGCAATATCAGACAAACTTCTGAACACCCTGTAGTATGTAGGTTTAATCAATTTTGTTTTGAATCATTCATATTTTAAAATAAAAGGTCTGCGTGATGTAGCAAATTTAGTTGAGAGTCCGTTTCGTAGGGTGAGTAGATTTGTTGAAAAGCTAATCAAGAAATGTATGCCCATTCAAAATCAAGAAAGTTTATAAATTCCATTTGTTATTGATGCTAGAAATTAATTAGATAATCAAATCTGTATGGCTTGATGTCATTTATAAACAATTTTAGGTGCCCTAAAATCTTTACTTCAAATTGATTTTTATAGGATAATTTTATGTAATAAAATTTTAATACCTTATAAACTAAAATTATTTACAGAAAACTTTTTTATGATCGAAAAGTTTAAATGAATAATAAAAGAATAATATTGGTATAAATTAGTGGAATGTTTAAAATGAATTAAAGATGAAAACTTCCTTAAAAGAGGTTAATAAAACAGGGCTTTTAAAAATTTTACATCTTTTAAAAGTGGAATTGCCTATAATTTTTATTTAAAATAAATAAAAATGCGAATTCTGCCATTTTCGTTTCATTTGTACTCTGTTTTACTTTTTGCTGCAATGTTGGCTCGAAAATGTTATCAGACACCTCTAGCATTCACACAAAATTGTGCTGCAAAAATAATCTCGCACAACGATCAAAGAAACAGGCTAAAATAAAAACACTGTCTCATTTCGTAAAATGGTGATTTTACCCGGAAAAAAAAAACAACGCCAAATTACTCTTAACCGAAGTTTATATCATACAATTAAACCCAATTAACAAACAAAAAAATATTATTATTCAAAGAATTCCCGCATATTCATTATTTAATTATAATGGCTAATTATTCAAACAGAATAATATTATAAATTAATTAACATTTATGAAGTTATCATTGCGCCATTGAACATTGTATGGATTATACAATCTAATCTTTTTTCTATAAAACTTTTGTACAAATAAAAATTTAGTATTTTATTTTAAATCATCATTTTATAAAAAAGCAACTCGTTCACCTTCATAAGTGGTCCAGAACTCTCATTTCTTACTACCGAGTATTTTCGTAAAAATTAATGTTTGGTATAGAACATAAATAATATTTAATTATCAATTTAGTAATAAAATGCACTCTTGAAGGATTTTATTAACTTTGACCTTGAGGATTGGCGCAGAACCCGCATTTCTTACTACCGAGTATTTTTGTGAGAATTAATATTTGGTATAGAAGAGAAATACAATAATTGGTTATTTTTAAAGTTTAGTTTAGTAAGATTTAATTGACTTTGATCAAATTTCTTTTCAGGGTCGAATTACACATAAAATACTAAGAACACTGACTCCTTTACCCTGTAGAATTACTGATTGAGATAAAAAAAACTGAATAATTTTTTAGTATCATAAATGAACTATAAAAAAGCATTAAACAAACGTGGCCGATTTTTATACAAGTTTAGTGAGCTGAGGCGTCAATAAAGTTGTAAAGTAGACCTTTGGGACGGCTGTCGGTAAAATAAATCCTCCATAAAGTCATGACTGTTTCTGCAAAATGTGGCTCTATATTATTACCATTTTTACACCTCCTTTTTGATTTTATTAACTCTTATAAAGCCGCACACCTTTCAGCAAATCTTTACGTATTCATGGGTTGCTGGGAAATACAACACAAGTCAAACAAATGTTACAAAAAAAAGTAAAAATGATTACCCACCGCAGGAAACTCTTGATAAAAATGGGTTTTATGATGTTTTTAGTCGATATAATTGCCGAATTCATTAAGAACGTCCATATTTATCATGTTTAATTAAAGAATTAAGGATGGAAGTGGAATCAGTGAAATTAATGAAAAGCTTTAAAAATGTAATTTGCAAGAGAGAGAAAAAATTAGTTAAGTAATTCATTTATGATTTAAGTAGACAAATAAATGGGCACCTTCTGGTTAATGTCGTAGTAAAATAGAACGATATACAGTGATTGATCCGGAATAAAATCGTTTATTTTTATTGGTCTAGCTACTACTCGCTTTTATAGCCAATAACAAAATATTTATTCATTGACATACGGCCGCATAAAACAACTGATTTATTGTTTCTGCAAAGATTTTATTGAAAACAAACAAACAAACACACAAACATTTTACGTCGAGGTGAAATTAAAAACCTTTTAAAATGTCATTAAAATGTTTGGATTTTGTTTTCGTTGGAACCCGATGTGACGCTACTGATTTAAATAGATGACATGCGAAGTCAAGAAACCATTCGCAGTTTGGAAAGTAGGCTGCCACGTTTTGGGGCTTACCGAAGGCTTTACACCCAAGTGGATGTGGAATAGAGAACGACAGCCCGTTTAACATCAAGAGAAACGTTTTAAATAAAATAAAACACGTTACACAAAGACGATTTAACATTGATTATTTGGGAAAACAAGTTCATTTTTACTCAGATTAAAAAAGCTGCATTATTAAAATAAGCTATGCAAAGTTCTTTAGGTTTTAATCAGAATATCCTTATTGTTCGTAAAGTATTTACCAAACTTTTTCAATATAATTTGATTTCATCATACGCTTTTTTCTCTTGTCTTTTAATAACTTAAGATTTGACAAGTGCTGCTGGCTTTGTTGTATTAAAGTAATGGTTTTGTCTGGGATTCATAGCGAAAATTAAATTAAACGTCTTTTATTTTTAAAATATACAAACAAAAAGGGAAAACGAAATCGAAAGATATCAGTAGTTATTTCTTTGCTGGCCGCAGTTTGATGTATTAAAAAAGCAGGATTTTTGGTTTTGGAAGGATTTTAGTTTTTTCAAATAATTTGAAAACCGCTGGCTTTTTCTTCAATTTACAAATTTCATATTAAAATTCTTGTAATTACGCAACTTTTTTGTAATATAACCGACCTTGTAGCTCTTAAAATAAAAAAAACATCTCCATATAAATTCTGCGGTCCAGGCACAAGTTCATTTTTACTCAGATTAAAAAAGCTGCATTATTAAAATAAGCTATGCAAAGTTCTTTAGGTTTTAATCAGAATATCCTTATTATTCGTAAAGTATTTACCAAACGTTTTCAATATAATTTGATTTCATCATACGCTTTTTTCTCTTGTCTTTTAATAACTTAAGATTTGACAAGTGCTGCTGGCTTTGTTGTATTAAAGTAATGGTTTTGTCTGGGATTCATAGCGAAAATTAAATGAAACGTCTTTTATTCTTAAAATATACGGACAGCTATTACAGACAAAAAGGGAAAACGAAATCGAAAGATATCAGTAAAACCCTTTTCTTATTTCTTTGCTGGTCGCAGTTTGATGTATTAAAAAAGCAGGATGTCACCATCTTTGAGAAAATGATCGACCAAAAAGTTTAACCGTCCACTTCAATTACACCGATTTCGAATGAAATCAATCATGCACCATATTGTACTCAACTACTAACTAATTTTTGATTGATCAACTTACCTTGTAGGTGCCTAAATTTTTCACAGAGCAGGCAAACTTAACATTTCTTCCCGCCGCAACTGTTATATTCTCGATAACTTCGGTGAATTCCGGCTCTTCGACAACAACTGCAAAAAACAGAAATTAATAATTAATGAACGATATTTAAAGTCGATTAATCAAAATCAGGGCGAGAAAAAATATTTAAAAAGCCGAAGACAATAACATTTTTATAAAATAATAACGGCATTGTCGAGATTGATGATTTCATATTTACTGATGCCTTAACTGCAGAGAAAAGAACAACTTGGCCCTTCTATAGACTTTTTAATGGGGGCTTACTTTGTTTCCTTCAGTTTTTCATTTGTTTCGCATCGAGGAGAAAAACTATGTTTTTCATCAATCATGATTGCTTTTTAAATGTCCGCAATTACTCAAAGGAAGGTAATTATGATAAATATACAATCTGATTATATTAGCTAGACACAATAGCACATTGTACCGCGTGTGTTTACGTGCACAAAGCCGTTATTGTTCTTGAATTTTTTCGGGTATAAATAAAAAATGAGGAATTGCGGTCGAACGAGAATATAAGTTTCGTAACCTACCCAACCTATTTGAATGTAATCCTCGGGGACTGGGGTGGAACAAAGATCCTGTAACCAGTAACCTTCTGAAAATTCCCCTTTAAGCCTTCCTACGTTCACAGCATTTCTCCAAAAAGCTAAAGCTTAATCCTAATTATCACACTTAAGGTTTTTCGGTTAAGAATAAATCTCTTTTGTTTTATTTTAAAGAAAAAGAATTTTATTTCGAAGTAATCACGCCATTTTATTATTTAAAAGGTAAGAAAGTAAATTCGATTATATGGCCATTACATATTAAATATTGTTCTCTATGTTTGTATGAATAGAATATGGTGTCGCTGAGAAGTTTTTGAAACAATAAAATCAGTTCAGATTTATAATAGTGAACAAACAACTGGTGACATTTATTACAACAAAGTTTCCTGCCACATGTGTGATGTGGGACAGCAGAAACAAGCGCCACCACTCGATCGAACCGAACAACCATTACATATCCTGAATGTGTTTTAACTTTCCAAACAATTTTCTAATAACTTTTCGATTCTTTTTTGATTAATTATCCTCACATTATACCATACTGGCTTTCATTAGCTTCAATACTAAGCTTTGTCATTCATTAATACAGGGTGATGTGCTCTTTGATATACAGGGAGTAGGTGTATAAAGCCGATTCTGAACCAGAGGTGCTACGTCACAGGATCATTAGAAAACTGGTGACAACAAAGTTTCCTGTTATATAATTGATGTGGGACAGCAGAATCGAACCGAACATCCATTACATATCCTGAATGTGTTTTAACTTCCCAAACAATTTTCCAATAACTTTTTTTTTTTTTAATTAATTATCCTCACATTATACCATACTAGCTTTCATTAGCTTTGCTATTAAACTTTTAAGCAGCTTTATCAGTTATTATTATTATTATTATTTCTTTCATATACAGGGAGTAGGTGTGTAAAGCCGATTCTGGACCAGGAAGTGCTACGTCACACGAGAGCCGCCATTATGGTGTTAGAAAACTGGTGACAACAAAGTTTCCTGCTACATGTATGATGTGGGTATTAAAAGCCTATTCTGGACCAAGACGTTTATCTCACCATTATAAAACACCTTGTATGAAACATGATAAATAAAAAAATATAAAATTTTGTATTTGATTGAAAAGCATACAGGAATACGACACAATGGAATTATAGTATTTTATTTTTTGATATGTGAAAGAATAGATAAATCTAGGGAGCGTGGTGGATTTGTAAAGGTATATTAACAAGCAGGATGGTGGGTAGAACGTTGCAGTTCATAATCAGGGAACCTCTAGCATTTATATACTATTTAGAAAATTTATCGTTGAAAAAGGAGGATGTGCTTCCACAATGGACAAAGGCCTTTGTGCTTCTCGCATTTAAAATTTAGTGCATTCTTCTCACTTAAATGGGTTAGGATGTTACGCAAAATCAAACAGATTTCCTTTTATTGGAGAGCAGCTGAATCTTTTAGATTTAATTTGTATTGGCTGTGTTGAACAATGCACTTGTACGAGTATCTGCTCTTATCTTGATTTATTTTTTCAGCTTCTAGCTTTGGCTTGTAGCTAAAGTTTCCGTGATGATTAGAGTATAATTTTGATGTTTGTTAGTTGGATAAAGCAATTTGGTGAATTGCATCCCGTGTTTACTTATTCTATGGAGAAACGTCTAACGATATGGAATACTCATTAGACGAGGTGTTCAATATAAACTGGATCGATATACGTAACGTAACGGTGCATTGGTGAGTGGTTTGAACCCGCGCAGCGGGGGCCAGAGACTTATATGATTTCGTTCAATGCTTTCTAACAAAACTTTTCTTCAATAACTTGACCGTCTACATCTCTTAACGATGTCAGATCCCTCTTCACATTTTTTGCTGTATAATGAAAATAACGAATTCCTTTTTTCACTTTTCGACATTCGTATTCAAAAGTTTTATCTCGGATCCGCTCACGTGTCTTCAAGAACGTCCACTTACCTCCCTTCCCCGTTTTATAACTACTAAATTTATATAACTGCCACTTAAATACACAAAGCTCAACCTTCCGTGCATTATTCAAATTCAATAATTCAAAGCTAAAAAACGCGAAAACAACTTGTTTTGTTCTTTTTTCTTTATTAATTTTTTTTGGTTGTTGCTATAATCAAAAATCCATTTGAATACAATGTTTTCAACTCGAATCGATTATCACGTAAATAAATGATAACCTACACCAGGTAATTACAAACAGCAGTGCATTAGTGTCATTATATGTGCTACTTCAAACACATACTGTTAATAACAGATTTATAATAATATATAATTTTTTAATTCATATTTAAAATACTTTAAAATTTCTAATATAAATTTTGCAAATAGAAAAAACCTTTCAGAAACTTTTCATTTAGATTTCATTAAACTTCAATATTGAACTTTATTGTGCCATATTCTATACATAAAAATTATATTTATGGAATAAATTACGAAATTACGCAAGCCAACAAAATAAAACTCTTCAATCGGTTCACAGATAAATGCACTTTTTATTATTATTAAATTTTGTTTACACAGGTTTTTTGCTAGTAAAATCATCGTGGAAAATCTTTTAATAAATAAAAGTCATGCTAATAGTTTTTAATACTATTGTAATTTTAACTAGAGCTAAGCAACCTGGCGCTATAGCCGTCGACATAGTTAAAAAGAATCCGTAAACATAAAGTGACAAAAATGGCGAATGCGCCGGGATATTCTTATATCAGAGTTCTACCAACTTTAAATACCGACAGACAGCTGTTTCGACCTATATTGGGTCTCATCAGTGTCGGGAAACTTGGTGCAGTGGAACACACTCAAAACAAAAGAAAACCTGAGATTGTATACTGCGCAGGTAAGCCAACAGAGGCGAGATGTAAGAACATCCTTTGCTGCAATCGGTAGATACTATGCAACCGAGAATGCACGGCAAATTGTATCACAGATATTAATATGGCCTAAAGGAATCTACCGGGCTAAAGATTAAGGTAAACATTAAATTTTCTTGGTTTCTTCAAGAAACTTTCTTGACCCACTACTGGTAATATTCATAAGAAAGAATTGAACCTTAAAGGTTCATAATGATATTATTATTATTATTATTATTATTATTATTATTATTAATATTATTATTATTGAAGGGATTTTGAATGATATTGGTATTGTTTTAAAAGGCAATTTGTGGGACGTAAGATGCAAATAGAAATATTTCATATTAGAATGTCGTCTCCTTCTAAATTTGATCTCGGGCCAATAAGGTGTATAATTTTACATTTGATTTGCATGACAGATGATATGGATCAGAGATTTTGCAACTGTTGCGAAGTTCTGTCAGTGTCACGGGTTCATTTCGAAATGCTATTAAATTTCTATGCATATGGAATGAAGAATGGACTGCAGAGGACCAGGCAGCGGGCGGCAAGTGCGCGTGACCAAGGCAACGTCTGACAATATCATGTTCTTAAAATGTTTTACCCTCTTCTCATTATCATATAAAAAAGAATATGCTGCTGCTGCTGCTTGGTGCCGTTATATCACACATTTTCGATAAATCAGATTCGCCATGACATGTCTTTAATTAGTTTTTCGAAAGTTTTAAGTCTGCTTCCAGAGTACAAGGATAATAATGTCGGTTAGACAAAAGCATTTGTATTTGTAAATCCATTCTGACTAATTGTCTACCCCCGTTTCATGTTAATTAACTAAAATCAGGTAAGACAGCAGAGAGTTGCCAACACGTAGCAGTTGAATTTGTTTAGACCCAAACGGCCAATAATGCCTCAGTCACTACATCTCTCTATTTGTAAATATTTCCTTTATTTCTTTTAATTAACTTTAATTGCACAACATTGTTATCAAATAATTGACATCATTTTTGTGTTTATGCAAATCGAGAGATATGGCAGGTAAACTAATTGACCTAATAGCCTTAACTGATTAGTATCATAATTCTGTGTTAACAATTAACTACATAATTAACTAAGTGCTAGATTGGATGCTATTAATACAGCAGTGTATTGAATTTCCTTACTGGGTATGGGGAAAATTAATCTAATTGAACGATGTTTAAAGCTGCGTACACGGAAGTGTTAACGGAAAAGCGAAAAACAAGGGAAACGCGGAATAAAAGTTATTGGAAAGCAAGGCAGCAGCCAGGTCGCCTTACGATGCGAAATGAAAATTGATTGTTATTTATTTGGCATATAAAGGCTGTTGGGCATTAAATTTTCCAGAAATAATAAACGGTTTGGTGCGAGAAGGCCATGTTGAAACGCGCAAAAACTCACTGGAAAATTGCTAAATGATGCAGTTCATTGTATTGAAATAACGAATGTCTCTCGGTGTTTAGCGGATGCCGCAGAGCAGGCCTTACATTTAAACGGAACAGAAAAGCAGGCCTGCCTGTTGCTCCAACATTTGTGGTCGACGAGCCGGCTTCTTCCCACCAAGCTGCTTCCAAATCCTCTTTCACTAAGCCACTTTAACCGCTAATACACCA